GCCAAATCAGACGAGCCAGCTCGCGTTACCCAAGCAACCTGTAAACTACTACTAGATGGCGAATTCTCAAATACTGAAAGTAGTGGGGAGCGATGCCATTTATCAGCTTCATGAATATAAACGATAATCATAATGGATCGAAGGAACAAATGAGCTATAAGGCTGTTCCGTCACCTCTGGAGCAAAGTCGGCAATGTGAGTCTTTTCTCGTTCCAACGCCGCATTACTGACAAACATGGGAAAATAGCAGTTTTTCACGCCAAGTTTCTTGATACCGCTATCGAACCATGCCTAAAATAGCTCATTTTCCTTGTTCAAAGCAGAAATTTTGCCATATAAGTTTCATTCAATCAGTCAGTCAGACGAAAAAGCGCTAGCGCTGAAACTTGCAAGTCTCTATCTAATAAATGAATGAAAACAGTATTAATAGAAAAATTGATTCAACGTTCCGTAGGCTTATGCCTTTTGCACATCTTCCACAATGAACTGATATCAGAAAAATCAGAAGAAAAGGTGGACGCCAAATCGAATCGTGCTACTCATGCTCACTTCTCGCAACATTGTAAGTGGGGCTAGGAAAAATACACTGAACAATGTGTATTGAGCACTATTAGCGTGGAACAATTCGATAGAATTTTTATGAAGAAGTCACTCGAGCGCAGGTATCTCATGAGCAGGATGAGAACAACGTATTAGTGCGTGATTCGGAAATCACATTTCTTTGAAGACATCAAGAGGATTTAAAAGCAACCTGGATAGATTCCCAAATTGCATATGACCAGGGGCGCAACACGTAACATCCGGATACGTCGTAATATTCAATCATTTCGGCCTTGGTGATTACCTTAAGAAAGGAGAAAATGAATGAAGATGAAAATACAAAATCCACTTGACTGTGCCGAGCCTCGTGTTCGAACCATTTCACAATAAAAATTTTAGAATTAGAAAGTTCAAATAAACCGACTACTAGCAGCCATGAGTACATCAATCATATCCAGGTCTCAAATTATGAGCATCCTCTGCGTTGGCAAAGGATTAGCCACTGAGCGTCCAGCAGCCGGTTGTGTAAAGGTTCAGGGAAAAGAAGGTGGAGGTGCAGCAAATGCAATACAGAGCGAGACTAAGAAAACACCACTGGCTCACCTGCCCATACCATTCTGAGTAATTTTCATCTTTCGAAATTTCGATTCCCAACTTCGTTTGCTTTTTTCCATCAGCTTTCGCATCCTGTTTTTTCTCCTGCTTCTCAGCTGCAGGCTTTTTCTCCTGAATGTCATAAAATAGAGTGAAACCGAAGCAGGACAGTAAAATAGGAGGACACCAGCCCACTTTCTGCTTGCGACCACCGGGAGCCGCATACTCTTTGCCAGTTATCTCCTTATAAGTCAGCTTCAGCCGTAGAAGTTTGTCGATGGCTTCTTTCTTCACATCCTGAAAGAAATGAATACTGCGTGATAGTTGAAGCATTTTTCGTAGAAACTAGTACATACAACAAACTAAAAATCAAAAGATACAAAGATTTGGAATGAGAAACACCGTGATTCACGAGCGAAATGACCGGAATTGCTCAAAATGAATGCATTAACTCTAGAAAGATGAGCACTTGTGAACAAAACCCCTTCCACGCTCGAAGCATAAGGTTCAACAGGTTGAACGTAAATGAATAATAAGTAAACTTAGATCACAGTGTCAAAGCATACCTCGGAAGCTGACGCATCTCCTTTGAGTTGACGTACTAGGTCTCCCTGCGCTACGATCTGTTCCTCGATTTCCAACTCTTTAGCCATTCTAGCCTATAGGTTACCTGAGGGGATCACAAAATCGAATCACAGCAGTTAACTTATTTCTAAAAAAGGTAAGAAATTTCCAGAGGAGACTGAACCTCGCTATAAAAACAGACGAGAGGAGCATTTTATAAATCTTTATCACTGCAGAATTATTAGCTACCCGAAAAGCAAGAACCCATAGAAAGACAGATGTCACACTGATATTGGTGACTCGCCATTAACCATTTGATTTTCCATTTCGTCGCGACGCTTCTTCAAAATCTCCCACAGTGGCTGAAAATAGACTTGTAAGAAAACTTTCATTCCTTCAGTATTACCTGGCTCATTAACTAATATTCAAAGAAAACAACGCATGATTCATAGATTTTAACTTCTAGTGGAATGCCTCTACCACTTACTATCCACTATCCGTCGTATCTGTATCCATCTACTCTATCTATAATACCTATGAGAAAATGAGATGCAATAAACGTTTTTTTTTTCGTAAAACACTGGAACAGACCATTCTTTTTTCTCATTCTTTCCTTAACCCTCGAACCAATCGATACCTTATCCTTCATGTTCAAATTAGTTACGTAGGAGAATATCGAAAGGAAAAAGGCTTACCTTGGCAATAAAATGGCTGTAACGGAAAGGTTCCTCGCCATCCTGTTCCACATACTTCAACCCATTATCCATACCTTCAGGCATCACTGTTGGAAAAACGTCAATAAGTTCGTGGCGGGGCAAAACATCATGAAGCATTGTCACAGCTTGATCACACATTGGCTTAAGCGGAGGATTTTGTTGACGTTTTTTGTTTCAAAAACAGAATAAATCTTCAGCTTCTCGAATACTAAACTCACTAAGTCAAACCGAATTATTGCAGCTACAACGAGAGGCACCGAAATGGACTTCGCAGAGGAGCTGTACAACTCCTGCAGCCCCTGAGCTTCTGGAGCGACAAGGCGCTCAAACAAATTCTTATATAACGGCCGATGTTCTTTTAGCAGACTGAATAGTTCTTCAGAAGATTTCGAGCACAGACTTGCTAACATACTCAATGATTTAACAGGATCCTTCACGTCATGACCAGCTCTTCTGAATAAAGAAAACTTCGGTTATAGAAAAGGTGAAAGGTTTTCTCATATAATAAAAAAAATATAGAAGATCCCCAAAAACCATATTTCAGAAGAAAATGCAAGAAAAGGAGTGAAGACGCTGTAGTTTGCTCTCAGAAAGACTATGTGAACGAGTCAAAAGGTGTAATAGCACGAATGAAAGCCATAGGAAATGTTTCTTGTCTTCTTATTCAGCTCTACCATACAAATATAGGCTTCGCATAGGATCAGAATACATAGAACAGTGTATTAAATACGACAATAATACGAACATACATTCGAGCTCTCTGCAGGTGTGGCCCGCTGCGGCCGCTGTCTGCGATACACTGCGCTGCATCTTCATAGTGACCGAAAAGTTCAGCAAGTACTCCAATATGCAACAAAAGGGGCTTATCGGAGGATTCCATCTCATCTAAAAAGAGCTTTCAAGACAGAAGAAAACCTATAAAAAACTAAGTAGTTTCCAAGTGAAGAAACATTGGTCCTTACAAACCTCTCAAACGTAGAACTTTACTGAAATCGATCATCACCGTGGCCGGATNCGATACATTGCACTGCATCTTCATAGTGACCGAAAAGTTCAGCAAGTACTCCAATATGCAACAAAAGGGGCTTATCGGAGGATTCCATCTCATCTAAAAAGAGCTTACAAGACAGAAGGAAACCTATAAAAAACTAAGTAGTTTCCAAGTGAAGAAACATTGGTCCTTACAAACCTCTCAAACGTAGAACTTTACTGAAATCGATCATCACCGTGGCCGGATCAAAACTCTTCACCCGTAACGACTGGCACAGAAACGAAGTATATTTCATTACCGCAGCAGGCTAAACTTTTGAAGACTTTTAGAACTTATTCGAAGCTCCTAGTGATTAAGATAAGCAACTTCTCAAGAATTAGAAATATGATGAGGTACGAAAAAAATCAACCAAATTTTCATTCTGCTCACCACAGGCTTGATTGAAATAGAGTGGCGATACATATCCATAGCTTCATGATCGAGTCCTTCGGATTCGGCTTTCAGTGCCCAGGCACACCACGCTTCAGCGAGCTGCGGATTATGCTTCAGAGCCGTTTCTATCGTAAGATGAGCTTCTACCATCTGAAAGTATCCCTAGTAATGGTGTGATTCATGCTAAGCATTAATGTGAAGTGTGACGTTCTGGAGCTGATCTTAAAAGGCAAGGCACCCCACCACCCAGGAAATTGATTGTCTGGCATTAGCACAGAAACATCCCCATAATAAACAAAACCCCTTAAGATTACCAAGTTGAAAAGAATTTCCAGCGATCGATAACTGACCGCTCCATTGGTGTAGTAGAGTAACGCGAGTCGTAGCCACGCTTCATCGTTAGCCTTGTTGAGCTGAAGAGCTCGAACAAGATAATGTTGCTGAAGAGCAATAGACATCACGTCTTTCGTTGAGCCAGTTTTCGCCAATGTTGACAATCGTTCTGCCTCCGCAATTAGGGTCCATAGTTGTGAATGCATTTGGGCACACTTACTTAAACTCATAGCCTTCCGTAGACATTCGTGAGCCCTTGAAATAAAGAGAGAGTGGGCTGAAAAGCATCTGAATATTGCAAGATTTTGAAATCTCAGTATAGAGCCAACAAAATTGCACGTAATACATATATATACAACAGTTCAAAATCCTAAACCAGTCGCTGAACAGATTTTCGAGGAAAATTTTACTACCTTACTTCTGCATCCTATCGTGCAATTATCATGGAATACGCATGAGTGAATCATTAGTTTATAATTTCGAAACGGTAAGGTGTAGTTTGACAAATATAAGAGTAAAGCCGTGCTATCGTAGATTTAAGCTTTGCTTGTCATGTTACCCTCAAAGCCAAAACATTCACTATTTGCCCCTTTTGAACAAACGACAACCGATCCAGAACACCGCTCCACAATCAAACAATCGCTAAGCATACGTCCTCCCTGCTTTTCATTCTGCAGCTACAGGGCCATTCTGCCTACTTGAGGTATCTTTACTTCCTCTACAACTTCTTCTGCTCCAGTAGTAATAGAGTAACTAAGAATCGAAACTCACTTCGTCGCGTGTTGCTCTGATTTGTCGAATCTGGCTAAAGAAAGTAAAGCTATCGCTAGGTCGTTCCAGGCCCATGCGTTCTCACGATTCAAGTCAAGGGCTACCGAATAGAACATGACTGCAGATCGGATTGCGGAGAGCCGATCAGAAACCGACCACGACGACGGAATCTGAACAGCACAAGGTCAATTAACAAATGACTCCAAATGTTCATACCGTCACATACCCCAATCTTTACTAGCAATTCATTTCTGAATTTTATTGCGTGAAGCAGGGCATCTGCGGCTAGCTTGTAGGCTAGCGATATACGTGGTCGTCTAGCGATCACACCATCCAACAGATTGAAAACCTTCTTCAGATGATCCAGTCGTTCGTCACCAAGTGTGCTATTGAACAGACGCAGGTGAACCTTAAATCAGGGCTACTCTTTCTGCTGTCGAAATAGTGCCTCCTATAAACATGTGAGAGTTGTTACCTGTGCTTCCAGTATGTCTACTGCATTTTTTAGCTGAGGATTGTGGTTTTCTGTTTCCCGCCATTTGGTGCACTGTTCAGCTGCTCCTTCCAAATTGTGCATACGCATTAATACTTGGATCAACTGAAATAAGACATACTATAAACCCTAAATGTACTACAGGATACAAAGATATCTAGACAGTCACATTAACTTGAAGCGCAACCGTGAAAAAAAAAACCACTATCATAAATTGAACCAAAAAGCGTTATAACAACTGTTGCCTGCGACTCCTTCTCATCGCTTCAAACTTTTTTGATTTCATTCGTCTACTACAATACAGAATCAAACAAAAAACTCACGCAAATTGCATAGTCACTGCTGGGATCGATTTCCAACACACGCCCGTAAGCATTCACAGATGACTGTAAAAAATTTTCTTTGCACAAAGGTTTTCTCTCATCCCTAGATAAATCAAAAATAGGATAGAAGAATTAGGACAAAAACGAAATTTTTACCCACTTGCAAATTACCGCGATAGGAATACGCTTCTGCTAATGAAGCCCAGCTCAGAAGCTCATCCGGGAGATGCCTTACAATTTGTTGGAGTTCGCCGATAGCTGTGTCCCAATCCTGCTTGCTTTTTGCAAGACTTAAAATTTTTGAAGTTATAAAAAAATGGAAAACTAGAATAACAAAGTAAAAGATGTTTCTGCAAAGCTCATTCACCAGCAAGCAGACTCACTTCGCTAATTTTCTTCTCAACCACATCGGCTTCTTGTAAGTTCCCATGGTGTTGAGCAGATTCAAACGCTGGTCTATTGCTTCGCCTATCTCTTCGTACATATCGTCCAACATCTTAACGTACTCCTCATTCGTTGGCCGAATTTTCGTTGCCCTTTCCAGGCATGAACGGGCTTTTCCAGGATTTTTTGTCCGTAACACTTTTGCCAGCAAGAAAAATACGCGGCTCGAACGCGGGTTTAACTTGGCAGCCTGAAATTTAAGCTGTATGATGATTTAAAAGTAATCTATATCAAATGTAGAAATTGAAATAGTATCTATTCATTAACATAAACTTGAATTATTTCCTTAAACTTGAATTTAAATTTGAAATGAACGAGAAAGCAGTTCAAACTAATTTAATAAATTCAAAAATAGCCCACCCAAATCAAAAAACTGGTCACTCTTTCCTGGCTCCCTTTAGATTTATCAGCGCAACAGCATACAGAGTTTTCGGGGTGAAGAACTAACCCCTTACAGAAGCGACATAAAAAGGATAAAAGGATAAAGTTTTTGGCGTTAATCAATCCCGTCTGAGGGATGCGCCCCCGCACTCGACTTCCATTCAGAATCATAGTGGCGTAATGAGTGCGTATGTGGCCTATACAATGACTTGCGGTGGCCAGCCGATGTACAAGTCAGTGCTTTTATCCTACCAGACGAGTCTGGTACCAATTCACCGACCCCGGAGGGATGGAAGGCTTGGTTGGCCTAGGCGGGCATCGATCCGGGATTCGAACCCCTGACCGTGCGTGTGATATAGTGCGCCACTTGCCACTATACCACCTCCGCCCACAGGGAATCACAGAAGCGACATAGGTTCTTTTTATCCTTTTTAAACTGGAATACAACCCCAATTCATGATTGCTTCTTATCTCTTCTTACCCCTCCCAGTCATCTCAATCGTTTTCGCCTTCAACATCCTCTCCGGAACACTAGACTCGACCACTCACCTTTACAAGCAAGGGCGTAGCATCTTTCGACAGAGCGATATTGAGCTCTGCAACGAGAACAACATCGCGCCACGAAGCCGATTCGTCGCCGAGAAGAGCCTCACCATCTTTGATTGCTTCTGTTGCATTTCCATTGTATAGAGCGCGATATATCCTTGAAAAGCATGGATATTACCAGGTCGAATCTACTACATGTTAGGGAATCATTCAATAGTGTTATTCATAAAAAATAACGATTTCAAAGTAGCAGAGAAAAAAATCCGAACATTGGATTCACAGCCTTCAGGAATGAAAACATCTTCAGCTTTCGCTCTGCACGAAACAAAAACAGCTATGACTACTATTGTACGAAGAGTGATCTAATCCTAGGTCGAATTCCTACATTACAGAAAACGCAGTGTGCTCCATGATTTCCCAAAATCTCATTAACTGTATACAACCTCTCCTTGGAAATACGTTCGACATTACTTTTTCGATAATTTTTTAGAACCTTCCAGAAATCAATCACGCCAACAAAAGAGCAATTACCCAAAAAAAATTCGTTTTACTCACCTGAAACGTTTCGCATCACAGGAATCCGGTCCGACTTGTTCAATCAGATCATCCAAATTCTCTTTTTTCCATAAAGCCACTTTTGCACTGTCAATGACAAAGGTTTTAGGAAGACTTGCCAGCGGGATTTGAATCCTAAATCAAAAATGTGCGCGGAACCCCGGGTATTTGCAAATCAACAACGCAAAATACCTTGCTGCCTCGTCAAGGTTATCCATTTCCAAAAGCACGCGTCGTTTGAGGGAGCGTGCCACATCATTACAACGTTCAGATAATCCTTGCGAACGCACCCAGTCTATCACCTGAATGCAAAGCGATTTTGGTGAGCTTGTAATTAGACGAGCATAATAGAAGAAAATCTGGAGTAGCAGCTCCCCAAATGCAAGAGTAGCAATGAAATGGAAGCTTTATTGAAACAAAATGAATGAAATAAAGGAAAGCAGATTATGATAAGGTCTCCTCGCACACTTGCACAACCTCATTCAGAAACTAAGCTCCGCCCATTTTGAGTGGTTAACGCAGGCTTGCAACAGCATGATGCAATTTCGAATATTTACCAAACAAATTGCAGTGATATTGCGACAACTAGTATAGCAAACTCCACAGCTGATGTTCAGTTCCCATGCGGTCAAAACAGTGAGGGAAGTAAGAGAGAAGCTCGCTTCATTCACTCCAAACAATCAATGATAATTAATAGCTTTCGTCTTATGCGCGAAAATAATGCAGTATTTTCAAACAGCCGAATAAAAGACGACACAACCTTGTTACCTTACCTTGGAAACCTTCTCCCAATTCTCAACTTCGGCCAACAAATGCACGGCGACCATAGCAAGGGGTAGAAACGTCAGCGAGGCATCTGTTAACCCGTCAATGATATCCAAAGCGCTCGACATATCTTCATCCCTTAACTTCTCGGTTCCGAATGTTTTCAAAAAGTGAATAATTGTTGTTTCCCATCGCCATCATAAACAAAAAAAAAACAAAAAGCAGATATCAGAAAAGACTAGTCTTCAAAAAGAACATGAACCTCCAACGCGCACCATACTAATTGACAGATACAAGAACCCTCACCTTAGCAGCCTGATCAATCGATCGAACTTCGTTTCAACATCATTTAACGGGAGGGTGCATTTTTCATAGAAGCCGAATGTTTGTTCGCAAACTTTGAGTTGACAAAAATATTCTTAAAACGCAGCATTACGAAGGGTGTAACAGCAGTAGCACTGTAATACAGCAAAGACTATAAAGAGAATAAGAAAAGGGAGGATAGGGAGGTAGTATGTAAGACATGTAGGTTCTAGTAATCTTCAGAAAGACTTTGTCACTTTCAATGAGACAATGAGATGAGAGATTTACAGAAATCAGTCAAAAGCTTCACATTTTTCGCTGCTAAACTCCTGTTAGAAAAAAAAATCACAAGAAGGAAAATGGTAGCAAAAATTGGAAGGGACGACGTGGAAGAAATTCCGAGTTTTATACCAAAACTTACCAGTAGAAAGAATCTCTATGAGGCGATCTCTGATCCAAACAATGTCAACGAATGGATGATGGGAGCAGAACTCTATTACCGCTTGATAACATTCTTGGCAACGTTTCTGAACTAATACACAGTTGATTGATCTCATTTGGTTTAATAACTATGTAGAAATAATCAGGAACAATCGAAACCTTATGAAGAAATCTGCAGTAATGCAGATTCCATTCTGCATTCGTTTCAAAGGATGCCTTCAACTCATTGAATACTTTTTCTAACTGAAAACAAAAATAACAAAATTTTTATTGCAAAGAACGAATATTTTGACCAACCCATACAATTTCACATGTATTTGCATATTCATAAAAATACCAACCAGTAGAGCCTCTGTTGACGTGAGCGTATCCTTTTTGACAAAACGTTCGATTATCTTTCCCAACAGCACAATGTTCTTCCCGAGATCATTCTGAATAGCCGATTTGAGCTGATGCCGTTAATAAAAGAGATATCTAAAAACGTACCTGTAGGTCTTCGTAACGACAAAGTTCAAAGAAAAATCTTCGTCGTGCTTCTTCGATGGCGAGTCGTTTCTCCTCGGAATCGCTAAAACCCTTTGATTAATTATCAATCAATACCAAAGTCGGGAGCATGGGAGTATGCAAAAAGAGGTATACAATCCTAACAGGTGGAACTAATGTTTGGGACCTTACAAATGAAGAAAAGCGGTGTTTTTCTTCAAAAAGGACAGTATGCCGTCAATCGGAATGCAGACAATCGATATCCACCCTTCGCTATACTTTGAAAGAACAGTCGCAAAGATACGAAAAGCATACCACGTTGCGATCAGATGATTGGCCACGTCAATAGCACGCTCATCAGAGGCTAATTTTCCTGTATCGTACAATTTGAACAATCCCTGCCATGCGGCAGGCAATTTTTCATCGAGTTTAATAGCCTGAATGCTGACCGAATTCGTATGAATGGTAAACAAAACAAAGGAACGCCTACTCGTACTTTTTCGTAAAGCGTCTTCGCCTTGGTTTTCTCGTCCAGATTGCCATAAGCTAACGCAGCGAAACAGAACAACATGTAATCTTCCACGCCATCGTCCAGAAACTCCTTAAAATACTGTTTTTCGGCTTTAAGTATAATAATTAATTGTTAATATGAAGATCTGCAAAAGTGGGTCTACCAACCTGCAGCACATTCAAAGCATCCTCACTATGGTTTTCGCCCAGTAACTTTTTTGCTTGCTTCAACGATGACTTGAGCTCCGCCATCCAGCAAAGACCTGCCGAACTCATCCAAAATACAATAGGAATGTTTGCGAAAAACTGAGGAAAAATACAAGTGGCTTTACACTGCTAGTGAGAGGGACGGCACGCAATCTATTTTTATTCAACCTTCGAAACTATATCTATACAAACTAAAAGTTCTACAGAATAGACTGAGAAATAGTGCACTAGATTAACAGGGAAAGAAAACACACAGAGCACAGTAGAACAACTTAAAAGTCGATTCCAATCACTGGCGCGAATTTTCCTGATCCTGATGTGGTAATAGTGCGGCCTCTCTGACGATCCCACCACAACAAATCACCGTCCAAGCAGGCCTCGTTCGACTTATCCTGAAAGGAATTCATTACTCTCACTTAGAACAGAATTTGAGTATTAAACGTTTACAGTCCGAAGTCATGCGCTACAAAGCAGCTAGTACACCCGCAAGGTCGATTAGTATAAAGGTTACAGGAGGCAGTCATTATGTCATCTTAAAAATTGGAGCATCCCTACAAGCCAGTTCTGCCTCGTTTATCATTTCAAGCTTCGCTTTACGTGAAACATCAAGTACTGACTATTAAAGCTTTGTAAATGTGAAAGTGCTACTTTTCAGCACTAAGCAGTGAGTTGTGATATCTCGATCAGCCGCACCACGTCACGCTTGAAGACATCTTGCGCTTGACCGCTTATTCCCACCCACCCAATGCATAACGCGTTCGCAGCAATAAGTGATGAAATTCAAGAGCCGTACAAATAAACTAGTCGGCTTTCGAACAATGGAAGTTCAAAGATCGTGGATAAGCTCAAACGATGGAAAGTCAGAAGGAGATGTGTACAGAAAACTCTTATCCGTGAGAATGCATCAAAACTCACGACGGGTATGAAGACAATCCTTGTGTAGAGATAGAATATTAGAAGCACAACTCCGGTATAGAGGAACATTGATCTTGGAGTGATTCGGAAGAATTCAGCCTGAGTCATGTCAGCCGAATACCAACGAAACATGGCAGGATCCATCACCACTCCCTCCTGAAATTACAAAGAACAAACAATCTTGTTTGGATCGAGGTGATGCGTAGATTTTCAGGGTGGAGCTTGGATAAGAATGAGGTTGAAATTAATAAATGTGGTAATGGTAACCAAATAAACCACCACTGGCCTCTTTGTCAATTTAACTTATTTTGCACAATAGGCATTAGAAAATCAAAAGTTCAACAGTGGAAAGAACGTTCGCTCATTATTACAAGACTGCAATACTGTTTCAGATAGAAATGGGAAGACTGGCTATTTATGACTGGACGATTCTGGGAAGGAAGAAATGTAGAAGGAAAACAAAACACCGACCGAATGCAATTTTCATTGCCTAGATGCAGGTAGGCAAGCCGGGAAAAATATGAGAAGAATTCAAGAAGACAATAATATTCTCACGAACCATACCTTGTATTTGAAGTTGTGAGGGTCGTACTCACGACGCAGATACTCCTTTTTGAGGATCTCCTTTACACGATACCTCCAAAGAACAGCCTTTTTCTCGTCATCCGTCAAGTTATACTCCTGTCCAGGGAGAAATTCGGTCTTTCCTAGAAAATCAACTTTCGTAAAACATGAAGTACTTATTATTGAAGCTTTGAACGTGTAAAACTGCTACTTTCTAGTACCTTTACACCAAAGCACTTCCCACCCTACGTAGACTTGGTTAAAAAACTACATTCCCCTGAATGAATCCGTATAAAAGAACACAGGTGGCCATACCCATCCTACTTTTCGTCTCTTATACAGTGCTAATATAACAAGGATTAACACGGAAGGCTGATTTCATTCCTTGTTATACTGACATTGTGATGCCTTAATCGTTCTTTTCCTTCGTTGATCGTTTATTAGAAGAGACGTAAAAAGCTATTAAACTCAGCAAAAGCTAACCGTGAGTTTCAAAGTAACCAAGCACAGGATCTTGCCACAGCTTGGGATTCTTGATTTGTTGATTGGCTGCTGGACGCAACAGGCGTACAGCAAGACGCATTTTCCCTGCAAATAACGAACTTTCAAATACTAACATAGAAGGCGACCATGCTCACGACGATACTGACCAATATAAAAGCAAAACAACTTTGAGAAACAATAGAAGTAAAGTAAAAGCGTTGTTCACCCTTGTTTTCACTGAAGATTAAACGGTCATGCACAAAACATTCATGCGAGGAAGATTTCAAAAGCTAAAAGATTACAAAAAAAGTGAAAGATGTTTCCAAACTGAACAGAAAGACATGAGGAAGATGATTTAAGCAAAAGGTGCGATGTACGCGATATTGCACCCTTTTTCGCGGACGCGATATTACGTCCCTACCGTAACTTTTGCTTCAGAGCACCTTTCATCTATTCTTCATGCAAGTGCTTTCAAAAAAGTAGGGAGTGAGAAAGTAAGATATGCCTTACTGGCCATATTTGATGACCAAAAAATATGTTTACATAATGCGGAATCAACATTCGGGCTGCAGATAGTTCTCTACATAAAAACGGAAAAAATTCGGTTTTCGGGTCGAAATCCTTGCCTTAACCCCTGATAGTACGAATTGTTATTGGGACTACGGTAGAGAATTTACTGAACTCCTGCATTTCCATTTTGGCTATTTAACGCCTTCATGGTATGTGCAAAGCCAGTGTCGCCCAAGAAAACCACCATCGAGAAGTGGTAGCTGAAGATAAGGCAACTCTACCCGGTAATAGCAGCTGAATTCCTATGAGACACTCCAAGCATCGCAACGAAGACGGACTTTGAAGAATGTTCAATTTTCTAGGTAGAAATTACCTACAGTATATAGCCAAACCCAGTGCAGACCTTCCCAAGAACCTGTGGATTAAAGTGAGGTTAGTGGCGCATATGCAAGTTACCGATCCAAGTGGAAACCCTTGCAAGCCCTCCTCTTTCCGACCGAATGTCTTGCATTTTGAGACATTTTGAGAGTTTCAATGTGACCTGTTACTCGTGAAATCATTTTTCTTCTTCAAACGGAGAATCTTATAATAGTAACATAACTAGTAATATATATCAGCGGTAACGAAGTGGTAGGGCTGTTACAGTCTTAGTCTATGAGTGTTAAGTACTAGTCCAAACATCGTCTAGATCGAGTGCATGGCGCAATCAATGGAGAATTGACGACTAGTGATGGATCGCATTGAACTTGACAATCAAACAGTATGTGACTCAAACGGAATTGGAATGAGTAAACATTTTCTAAAATCGGATTCATTGATAAGACAAAAGGGTCGGAATTCACTTCCGACTTCCATTCAGAATAGTAGTGGGAGTTTGGGTGTGTACATGACCCATTCAATGATTTGCAATAGCCAGCCACTGTACACAATTCGGACTTTTTTCCTCCTAGGCGAGCCTGGTACCCGTCAAGCAGCTCTGGAGGGATGGAAGGCGCAGTTAGCCCAGGGAAGTACCCAAAATTCGGATCATACCCTTGATAGTGATAGCCTAGCAATGCCTTACCTACAGTCTTTACAGTACATTTGTGCTTAAATATATGTTAGGTTTTAATTTAACTTGTGTGGATAGTGTTATTGGATTATCCCCGGTTTTCTAGTTCTATGCTAAGGAGGTAGCGGTCCGGCGGTTTTTTAATCGAGTGCAATCACTTTTCTCCACAATCAAGCGTTTTTGAGGTCTCTTGAGAGTTTTGCAATGAATTTCCAAATGTTTCTGCGACTTTTAATGCTTTGCTAATCTCTTCATTTGCCTTTTGAAATAAAATTGCAATCAGGCTTCCGGTTAATCCTCGACCCAGACTACAGTAATCTCAACAAGTAGCATTTAAATATCACTTATCAAAGATCAAAAGACAATCATTTCCTGTCATTTTGCTAATCCCCTTCTAGACAGAGAAACCTTCAAAGATAACCGCTACTTCCAAGTTCCAGCGCTTACTTCTCATTTTCAGAGATCAGAATGACTGGAAGGCGGAATCTTAGCAAGCAGTCTCATTAACCTTTCGGGAAGACTATCCAAGATTGATACCTTCTACGTAGCTAGTTGCACAGATCACAGTGGATTCCTTCTTTCTTGGCTCTCTTCCAAGACACCAACCACGATAAAACGAATAAACTCAGCCATAAACCAAGAAAACAACTCTCGTTTCAAGAAAGGGATCATAATACAAATAATTCCAGCTCCAAGTCTTCCAAAGGAAAGAAAGTTTGTGTTTCATATTCGTATACGACCTATGGAATGCGCCACGCACCATTCACGTCCCTCTGTAACAGACCTTCAATACTTACCTCATAAAATTGCACAGATCAAGCTCATTGAAGACGTTTTAATAAGGATATTTTATTCAAAATGCAGGGTGAGCCAGCTCTAACCATAACTAGTTACATGGATCAGCTGGGAAGTCTGCGTGACTTCACAGTTAGGTCCCACGATGAAGTCCCCAGCCGAAAAGAACATACTTTCTACCCCCGGCTGTATTTGTTATGCCGATCCATCAAGGTGAAAGAGTAACCGAACAGAAAGCCAATCTTTGATGTGTTCGCAAAGGTTTCGTAGAAAGGTTGCGTTGTTGACAATGTCGCTCTCCACCTTTGTTCAAAGAAATGCTATGCAGCCGAGAGAAGGTTATAGTGGGTTGAGAAGGTTCGCAACATCCTTCGCTCATTGTCATATTAAATACCAATTTTTGAATGTTTTTCCAAGTACTATGTCTGCAAAAAAAAAGACTTCCTCTTGGAAGCTCAAAAACATTATTTCTCGTATGAAAAGGAGCGCAGAGGCTCCTTAATGCGTACTGGTGAGATTCATTCTCATGACTCCGCGAGCGATTTGTTTTGTATATCTCAGTAGTAGCAAATACCGGTGATCTTTGCCAAAAGACGGGAAGATAAAGGAATGAGGTGTAAGAGACCTACAGAAGAAGAGAAAGTTGGTAGTGCAATAATGCGTCATTATATAAATAAAGGATGAGTGAGATAACTTATAAATAAGTCATCTAGAAAATAATATTCAGAAAACATATCAGAATGTGTGCACAGCCTTATAAGCCTTATATGGACTACGTCCAACCAGATCAGGGTTATCTACCGTGGCGTGGCTACCATGGTGCAACCTGCGGAGCAGAACTGCTGGCTAGCTAAGTGGCTCTGTAAGCTCATTGAAACTATCTAACTGGTAAGTCACCACCATTATTCTTCAACAGTTAGGGGAAATGGCTAAGTGCGAAGTGGATGAAGCCATTGCATATGACTATAATTGAAGACGACGTTTTGTTGAGGTTGATCAATTTCTTTTTTGGATGCAACCACTGCGTCAGCTTCCGAACAGGATCGTCAAAGTGCTTCATGCGCAAATACCTTCACAATGGCCTACGAAGAACAGCCGATAGATAACTCAAAGTCCAGTCTTTTCAGACGGGTCAAGACCAATTTATCGAAAACGAAAAGGTAGAATTCCCACATTGGATTAGACGGGGGAGATCCGGGGTTCGAACCCGAGATTGTGCGTGGGTGATAGTACGCCAATTGCCACTTTACCATCTCCCTACACCACGAATTGTAAAGTTTCCACAACTGACTTTTATCATAGCACCATTAGCGCCTGTTTGGTGTTGTTGTCATACGTTCATTTTGTTCAGTTTCCAGGGATGCCTCACTGATGTTTGTTGGAAGCTTTAATGCGAATCAGGCGATTAGACCTGTTTTTTTTCTTCCTCATATCCGATGAGACTTCCAGAAACTTAGTGTCAAATAGTTTTTTTCACAGGAAACTAACATCAACGACTGCTTTTTAAGAAGGCCACCCCCATATCAAAGACAGTCAGTCCCCTCCAACAAGTTCCCTACCTCCTTCTGTGAAACAATCTGTTCTGTGGGGTAAGGCTTCAAAAATCACATAATACGAGCTGATCCCGCTGCGCCCACGTGTTGTTTCCATAAGCAAGGGAAACGTGGGAAAATCTTGTTCATAATTAATGTTAAGAAGAGCCCTAGAATCATGGACTTAACTCTTGCGAATCTCCTGAAAACACTTCCAGCTCTTCTTGGTAACTTTGCATGGTTTACGAAGAAAGAGTCACAATAGGAGAAAAATTTCTCAAAATCCTAGTTATCAACTGAGCTTAACTCAGATCGACCGCCAGAAGTAGTCCTAATCGGTACGTGCCTTAAGTCGAGTAGATGTAGAAACAGGATACTCTTCTAGGTTTTCGAACATATTGAAAGGAGACATGATTCACTCAGATGTGTCGTTAGGTGCGAACCTTGCTGCATATCCATGGCAAACCTTCTAAAATCTCTTCTGTGCATTGGCCTAGGTGAATTCATCAAAGGTGCCAGGTTCGACTACTGCCAACGGTAGACCTAAGTTCAGCTTAGTTGAAAACTAGACTCTTACACTCTTTTTGGAATCTGACAGAGTTCAACCACAAATTCCTATCTTTATCAGGTTACCAATAAAGGTCTGAAGCACCATCCCATTTTGCATACATCGAGTTCGGTTGACTTTAACAAAACTTATCAACTTCTACCTAAGGAAAAATACATCAGGAAAGCTTAGCAAATGCTTAAAATCGGTTCGGAAGCGATTCATGACACACAAGCCCGCAACGCGAACGCGCGCATAACACTCACTTACTGCATCCTCTGTTGGAAATTACTCGCTCCAAGCAGGGAAAAACAATGATTCATACCGTAACTAGCTGCGCCGCGAACGCACGCGACACAACCTGTATTTATGATTTCGTCAGTATGGGTAAAAGAATCTCAAATTATTATGGAATTCGTGTCGCTGCTGAAATATTCATCGCATTTTCGAGATACGATGCTTTTTTTTAATCTTAGAAAAGCTTATATATGATTTTTTTATTTTTTAATGGATACAATATGGAACCGAGATTCCTACGTGCAAGATTAAATACGATACAGAACCCGAAAATCATCCTATACAAATAAGTCAAATAAAATCCACTTGGTGGACGAATTGGATGATGCATTGTACCGTTATGGGTTGGTCAAACAATGTTCAATTATGAATTCGTAAAAAGTTATGATTAGCCTCATAAGTAAGTAAAACATCAAAACAACTGGTGACATACCCACGTCATACATGGAATAAAACTTATAAAACTCGAAAATAGGATTATTTTTAAAGCATTCTTTCATCTGGGCGATGAAACAAAGTGAAGCGTTGGGAATAAAAGCAGTCCTTCGAATAAAACTTAGGGATTGTTAAAGCACCATGCCATTAAAATATCAACAAAATAAAACTTTTCATGAACAGGTAAATTAGCCGTATAATTCTTCTAGTACCGTAAGGACGTTCAGTAAAACTGTAGCAGTGAATTCGATGGTTCTTTTCTACAATGGTCTACAAGACTCAAACATCATGAGGTTTTGACCGGAACGTCTGTAACGTTGAGTAGGACTTTGCGATCGTCTCAACGGGTGCTGTGGTAGCTGAGCGGTCGATGGAGGAATTGAATGAGAAGGCTGAAAATGAATCACTGAAGTTTGGAATGAAAAATAAGACCTAGTGGAATGAACGCAAAGAAAGACAGGATTTGCTGACTGGAATAGACAGAGTGAGGGCTGTCTTCCTGTCTATCCCAAACAGAAGTGAATATAATCCCTAAAAAAATCAAACAGGGAAGCAAAACGAGCCTAACCAAGCTCACCTTTAGCATCGCTTTCAAATCCACTGCTCGGAGTCGGTGACGGCGACATACTCATCCTTGACGATTCTTCCTTTTCCTCCTCAATTACAGTTAATCGATCGTTCTCGATGCTCATTTTCTGAGTGTGAATCGACGGTAGAAGAGCTGCACATTGGGACTGAAATGAACCTATATTACTTGGTGACCAGGAAAAGTAATGTGCTAATTCAGAATCTACTACAGTTCACACTCCACGGTAACCGAGTGGGTGGGTATGTTGTTGTCAAAAGTTGCTAGGCCATCTCTGGCACCTAACCCAATGTGCCTCCTTAAAATTTGTGCCGAAGACGAAACTACCCAATTTCAACCTCTCAGAGACTCAACCTCTATCAATGAACACGAACAGATCAACTATCTAACCAGTTTTTAGTAGTGTCATCGTTTTCTGTAATTTCGTCCAACAGTGACATCACCAGAAACACCACTGGAAGTTCACAGGTCCCAAGTTCCCTAACCAAATGGTGCTCCCTAACACCTGTAACCTTCTCGTAGTCTCCATCACAAACTACTTATGTCCTCAACAAGCGTTTCAGAGCATGTGACGTAACGACGCGTGCGCCGATTGCGCCATGGGTCTTAAAAACCCATAATTAGCAAGGAGTCGACACAGTAAGTGAGCGATCCATCCAGCGATAACAGAAGTAGCTTAACTACCGGTCAATTGGAACTGCCATGAGAAGAGCTGACTTGAAGACCTGCTTACAGAGTACAGATGATGTGAGCATGCGGGGACGGTGATGTCCAATTGGGGATGTTGTCGCACCACTCACAATCAGACTTGGTAGTCGGGCTCAAATCCCATCAGGACAATCGAATAAGTAATCAGTGTAGGATGAAATAATGCGGAGCCAATTTTTGAAAAGATTCATCCCTACTAGTTATTACATCGACCGAAAACCAATGCATGATGTCGAGTACACGACACATCCCTGGATCTACGTATCTACCGGTACCTCCCCTTGACTCTCGCCCATTTTTAGCACCGTTTCGATCTTACAACCTATCCCTTCATAGGGACAAAATTACGTCAATCAAAGCCAAAACTGTAGGCGTGCCCTTCTCATTTCACAAATCCTTCCTTCTTTCATCTCAGGGGATCAATTAAGCCTGATTGAGGCACAAGGTCTTTCTCGAAAACAAACTATGGTCTAAATGAAGCAGAATGTATTCAGCCAACTTTTGTCAGATCCTTTCATATATATTAGCGTAATCGTGCGATTACGGTTGAGCAAATAGCCAGTAAATCTCCAGAGGAAAGATCCAGTAACCATGTGAGTGGAGATTATGCAGCTATTCACTAATTGCTTCTCATGGGTACAGACATGCAACCAACAGAAACATATTTTGCTTGCAATCATGCACTCTCCTCACCATTAATTAACGACTTTCACTTAAGCTACTGTAGGCACCAGAGTTCATCAACTGCAGTCATCAAAAACCGCTTTTCTAAACACATTCCCACGCAAGCCAATGCACACTATTCTGAATTAGACCCCCTTCTTTAGTTCAGGATAAATGAGTTCTTGGAAAGAAATAATCGGTGATCTGAACTCGAACGGAAGATGTTCAAAAACAGCAAATCATACCAAGAATTGGCCATTCGGAAGAAAACGGTCGAGATGTCATCAAATCGACAGCCTTCATGACTTTTGAACCACGAAGTTCGTATGGGGCAGCGTCGTTACCCGGACTTATTAGAATCAACTCGTCCATCCTTACAGAACTCGAAAAGTAGTAGAGACACGATTGTTATAGAATACTAACTCGTACATTGGGTGGCGACAGTGAATCATTCAAAACACGGTTCTTCAAAATTACGAAGAGAAAGTGAATTTGTGGCATTTTTTTGTATTTTCCAAATAAGAGAGTGTTATTTTTGAACAATCATCCCAATTTCAAACTGAAATCTAAAATTATGATCCCGAAAACAATTAGTAATGCGTCTTCTCCAGTTTTCCTTCCCCAAACACTCCAAAATGCTATTGCTCAAAATATTCTAGAGGCATTTGTAACCCGTGCTTGTCCATGTTTGTGGCGGAAGTGTGTTATAATGGCTTTGTTTTTCCCATGCTTCCAGTACAATTACCACATTTTCGAGCCTGATGGCTTTTGAACAATTCAGCTATTCTTGAATAGTTTGCCACGTGAATATTGATCTTTCATATAGACAACGTAATCACTCAAGTCATTGAAGGTACCATAAGTGAACCACACTCGGCTCAATCGAGCCAAGTTATTCATCGCACGAATCGGTGACATTACGAGAACGTTCTACGGGCACATCATTAGCTTAAATGGGCTTTTTCATATACGCAAGCCTTGACGCAAGGGCTAAGAGCGAAGGTTCCAATGATGGGATAGAATGTAAAATTAGCACCATTAACTAGTACGACGTGAGATATGCTAGTAACACCAAATCAACGAATGTAGTAAGCTCACCTGCTTATGGAACTTCCGACTCGATCTTGCTGCACGTGTGATTTGGACAAATAGATGATGGGTGAGGAATACGATACCTACACCGATTGCCACAAATAACACGATCATCATGACGGTTAGTAAAAGCATTGGCAACGTTGCTGACACTAAAGCAAGGAAACTTAAGAAAAACTTCAAAACTAAGCGATAATATGTATTGAATCTTGTTCAACCTACTTCCTAATTTATCGGTTTCACACTCTCCCATGAGCGCATCTTTACTGTAAGTGGAATTCAAAAAGCACGTTACTTGTCCTGTTCGCTCAGTTATAATGCAGGCCTGAAACCCATCGATAAGAATAGAAAATAGGACTACTGAGATAATGGTTTACCTTCGCGTAATAGTCGTCAGGTGAGCTTTCATAAAATTGGACATTCAACTTCAGTGGCCAGTGTTCCGTGCCAATATTTCGTGAATCTACGCTTTCATCGCCAGCCAAAAATGTCGACACCGAGCGAACTTCATGCTGAAACACTCCTTCAGAGTAAACTCTATTTGATAATCCCTATTTGAAACTCTGTACAGATCACTTGTTTAGCGCTGTGGTACGAGACGATCTTGCTTAGAACTCTTGACCGGTACAGCTTACAGTTCGTTGTGGGATAGGACTCAAAGTTTGAGTCAATCCGCCGTCCTTGTCACAATCGGATTATTCCACGGACAAACGCCTGCTTTTTAGTTGCAGCTAACTGCTCCCAACATAATTGTTGGTCAATGGATTTCTTTTAATAATATCGTTGTGCTCTTTAAATGAGTGTTTATATCATCCAGATAAAATCAAAATTAGTTTTTCAAAAATGCAGTTATTAAATTATTGGCAGAGCAATATTATCGACAATAAGGCTGTGACCAACATTCCGGGCCAAGAAATCAGTCCAACATAATAAAATTTCACGAGGACGAGGGAAAAATGCTTATGACCTAATGAATCCAACTCGAAATTGGGAACAAAGAAACCTTACATCGTAAAGTGAATTAACCCACGGCAGAACCCATTTTAAACAACAAAAAAACAGTATTTCCTCATATCGAAAACAGAACTTCACAAAAAAAAAGTGAAAAAAGAACTTTTCGCTATGTTTCGACTCTAGTAACCTGGAGCAACATATATTTCCACTTCTTATATGAATTTTGTACCTCTCCATTATATTTCCTGCACGTATTTACTTTATTCTGCACATCTATGCTTACGACTGTTTATATTTATGCATATGTGTTTCCCCAAATAACATCAAACCCTCATTAGGGGTTTCTGATTGAGTGAATCATTCTTAAAAGTTATTCAGTTAATGAAGTAATCAGCTCAACACCACAATATTTACAGCTACAACTGCTAAACACCTTTATTTAATTGACATTTCCTAGCCAATGCCTTTCGGAACAAGTTGCAACAACTTTCCGCTAACTCTGAGATCTTAACCAGGAAGCCTCCGTATAGGACAAACACGCATTTAGATGATCTATTATCCTTCATAAAAGTCCACCTCACGGCGTATGCTGAAGGAGGAAATTTATAACAAACTTTTTGCTGGCTTACGACGGCTTCCCAACCTCCTCAAATAATCCTTATTGAGGAAAACAAATTAATTCCAACGTAAAGAAGGGGTCTAAAGCTAAAGTACAGCTAATACAGAAATCATATAAAAAAGCAGAAAAACTTTCTATCCACCTGCTCCTAATCAACGGTCATCCGGATTTGGGATTGGGATTTGCTTGACAAATAGCTTTAGTTTAGTACGTGACTGTCATTCCAGATTACGTGCAAATCATGTAGTACATCATTTGTACTTGTGCTTTAATACATTTCTTTACTTACAACTTGATTTAGTATGGACATTTTCATTTCCCTTTCAAGAGTACATTGTACGTACACAGAAAATCAAATAAAATAAATTCCGCCACCTCATCATCCCTTTCTAAGAAATCTATAAAAACACTAGGGCACTACGTACTATCCGGCTGTATATCATTACTGGTATTCCCAAATAAAAGTAGAAGCTTAGCTTCACCCAATCTTGTTTAAGTAGGTGATCTTTATTGGGAAGTAGACTTCTTCAGACCTCAAAACTACAATAATTGCATTTAACTAATTCCAACAAAGTAATCGGTGAGAAATTTCCGAAAAAATGGGACCTAGTTTTGTGCCAAAGTAACAATTTGCTACCACGTAGCTGGAAGTCCTGCAATTCTCCTTCGCATTGATGATTTCTAGCTTAAAACAGTACATTTCCTGTACTTTCATAGCCTTGCCTCCCTAGGACTGCTCCCCGCATTTGGCAAAGCCCTAACATCGAATTATGAAGCTCCTACACATTTACGCCTGAGTGTATAATGCTTGTAAAGCGGCTATGCCTGTAAACAACGGGATTGGGAAATGCCATTCTGTGCTCGCCCAACCAAAACTTCAGAAACTTTTTCTTCCCTCAGCGCCCCTTGCCCCCTTGCCCCCCGCTCCCCCTTCCCTATTCCTTGTACTTTCCTCCGCATCCCTTTGCAATGAATCAAATGAACGTGTGCCTAAAACGTCATTTTGTCTGGGCATACATAAATTTCACTTCAATTTCACGAAGAACCAATAAATTTCACCACTCTCCGAAAAGCTTTATAATATTTTTGGAAAAAAGATTCGATCGACAGCCTGACGCACAACCTATAAGCTATGAATTATTACTTCCAAGAGCCCCACTCTGCCAAAGTATCCATAAATATTACTCTACCGAACTCCACTAAAATACCCATTAATTTTAACCCATCTAAAATTATTTCCGAAGACACATGTTACCATCCCCGGATATAAATCTCATGGAAACCCCATATACTTCACTTCATCAAAACTTACTTTCCAGAAAGCCTTTTACAATTCTGAATATGAGCCCATGGGAACCTTTATGCACTAGTATTTGCTATAAATTATTACTTACAATGCCCCATTCTGCCGAAGCATCCATGAAGTTCACTCCAACCTAGAAAACTACTTCCGAAAAAGCTTTCCAACGCTTCTGGATATAACTCTTCTCGAATCCCTGAAGCAGTAAGCAGCACAGCCCCTCTATGCTAGCACCCTTGATAGCAAGTGCACTGACATATGGCTGACTACATGGGACAATGCCCTTGAAGCCTAACATGTGCGAAATGTCCCATCATAATAATAAACGGCACTCGACTCTCACAAGGGCACAAAAGTGACGCACCCTTTACAGGACGATGGGACAAAGCCTCGTGACTTCTATAAACACATAGGAGTTATCACAGGGAAAAAAGAAAACAGGGGCAATAAATTTCAGCGTGAAAAAAGAACTCTTGTTCTTTTGCAAGAAGTTTTTCATCCAAACAGTAGGCATCTGCGCTTTCTAATTGATTTACGTCATCACGAGATGAAAGCCGCCGCCTGATCCTAATTTTCTATACCCTATCCCAATATCCTTGAGAGAAATTTCCTTGCCACAATTGTGGCCCGAGTTTAACGACAACGAGCCCCTCTGTAGTGAAAGAGCCAGCTGAATGCTGATTTCATCCCATATAATACCCCGTTGATGACGCAGAAAAAAATCTATTTCTACACCATCGCCAATCTCCTCGAAAAGCAAAAAATCCATCTCAATCCTGTGAAAAATCCATCTCGTACAGCCTAGAGACATCGAAAAAAGTTAAGTCAGTAAAGTTTTTCAGCAAGTTTTCACCTTAACAGCTATGTCATACAATTATACCGTTGTTGGCTCGAATATTCTGGGTATTATACGCATGTCATATTACAACGATACCATATTACATATGTATAACCATGAATTAAGTCCCCATATGTATCAAATAAATGAATTTCGAGCACGAAAATGGGATCTCATTTTCGGTGGATCAAATTTGTCGCAGATCATTTAACATCGGCGTCAGAAATAAGCATGTTCCCAGTGATTCCTTTCATTATTCCGTCAACTTTTGAAAGTTCCTCTTCAATGCGACCCAGTCCATTCTGTGAAATCCTGCACACGAGCATGTTTTTGCCAGGAAACCGGACCTAACGGCATATCAGATTCAGACAAATTCACAAAGTATCCCTTCAGTGTTGTTTCGCTTGTCGTCGTCATTTCATCCAAGTTTCCCAAGAATGCTCGTCATTTCTTTATGAAAACAAACGACCAGTTAGGTACGTCATCAAAGTAGCTTCATTCCCAGCAAATGTTCCATTCAGTGATTGACTCCCAGGAAAGACAAGTAGCCGTGATTGGGATCCTCTCCGTACGTAAAAACCGAGTCCAAACGTCAAGAGCACGGATGATGATATGTTTAGCTGTTAATCTGCAATTCTGCTACTTGGAGTAAATCCCATTCACCTGGCACCGACTGCGCTCACCTAATCATTATTCATTCATTCGCGACTCTTGATCTTAATGAGAGCATTCTCACGAACAAGCCCATTCTCCGATAACTTCAAGAAATGAGCCATTGCCATATGAATTGCCAATCCAAGCTATTCGGATTTGCAGCCGATCTATGCCCTGAAGATTCGAACACACTCCTTTTTTTACATCGTCGTATGTCGTCGTCGTAAAAAACGAAACCAGTTTTTTGATAACCGAAAAACTACTTTTCAAATTTGAAAAAAATAGAACAAAGACAGATGGCTCTTACAATCGGTGATGAAAGGTAAGACGTTCGGGCATCAAGAAGCTAGGAAACGTATAAAATAGAAAAACTGAGCTGAGCTAAATTGCCTTTTAATCACCAAAAGAATGATTGGCAGGCTTCTCTGAAGACAAATTCGGCGGATTGAATGAGATTTGACCCTACAGAGCCTGGATGAGCGGCATAGTACCTTAGATAACAGCGGTTTCCTACGCTATACACCTTTTGTGGTGAACCATACTGCATGTTTCGAGTATGCGTAACTAAAGGGTACTGTGTAAAAAACTAAAGAGAAAAAGGGTATGGAGACATGATGATTGAAAAAAGGCAGAAAAACACTGTGTCCACAGGTATTGAACATTCAGCGCCCATAAGAAAAGTTGATGGGGAAAATATGGGCACCGGTTTATTTAGTAATATTATCAGGGAATTTATTCAATTGTGGTATCTCCCAAAGCATTTAAATGAAATTTCAGTAAACGACAAAATTCGAGTGTTTAATATGCAATATGAATCAATTCAAAGCTCAAAGTAAGTTAGAAATTCATGAAAATGAATTCAAAAAGATTGAAGAAAGGAATGAAGTTAGACGAATGTTGCCTTAGCATCGAAAAATGCACTCAGATTGAAAGGTCTGGATTGAACGAGCGGCTCTAGACCTATTCCTTAGCTTTGCTGTTGTCTTTTGAGTTTTTAGAACCATAATCCTTCAGCAAACGGCATTCCACTTTACCATTTCAATGCTATATATCAAAATGGCTTCAAAAAGCTATCGATCCGACAACGACCACTCGGCTTCTGCTTCATTCTTCACGAAGACTCAGCACTGATGTTAACTACCATGTTTTTCTTAAATAGGAACGCCAATTCTACTGAGTAATATAGCTACTTGCACTGTACAAATTTCGCCTAAATCAAATAATTAGAGGTCGGGAGAAGAAAAAAAACCTCTGTTCTATGTACGAAAAAATTAGTAACTCTAACAAAAAAAGTGAATAATCCGTCCATCCGATCCATGGTCACATCCGGATGTGCCCAAATCATATAAGGAATGTATATCCAGATATACAGAGACAATTTCTTCATGACTAAAGTAACATTCCATGCTTTTCCAGGAGCGGTCAGTGTGAGCATTGTGTATGGTAAGCTTAGTGGATGAGGTGCGGATTAATTACGAGACCAAATGTCATGCTGCAATGTTTGCATATCTCATCAGAGGCCAACGCTCCCACAGTTACCAATTATGCAGTCGGCGGACCCCCACTGGAGTTTCAAGAGCTGTCGGAAAGCATGCGTAACGTCAAAGACAATCATTTAATTGGATTACGGTATATATGTCACCAATGTTTGCGGAACGCCATTGTCTCATACAATCTATTCAAAAATGAAGCCTGATTCGGCATCGCTAAGAATAAAGGAGTCCTGAGAAAGAAACCCGTACAAATACGTCCTCAAAAACCATATTCCTTTAATTAGAAAAGCCCAATCTGACACAACTGATATATAGAAGCCTCTAAAGAAAATCCGCAGCAATGAGCTCTCAAAAACCATGTTCCCTCTAGATACGAAGCCTGATCCCTGTACTTATGGAAAACCTAGAAGAGGCATCTATACGGCAAATTATTACTCACAACTTTAACATGAATTTATTCATTTGCCAAGTAAAATACAAACACAAAGTTCAGATCCATTGTCCAAGCCACTGGCCGATTACATCGTAGGAGTCGTTTTTCTTTAAAGCCGTTTTATGTAGAACTAAAGCTAAATTGGCCACTCTGGCGGCAGAGTGGCCAATTTAGCTGCAGCTCTCCACAAAACGATTTTGAAAAAAATAAGACTGAATGGGCTTGTAAGGCAGTTAAGGTTTTTCTGTTGGGTAGTGGAGGTAGCCAGTAATAGAGTGGCGTAAAGCATTATTTACAGTAAGACCACACAAAAGGTTGTTATAATCGCGACTTATTGAGTACCGTACTGTTACTAAAGAAGAACTGGCAATCTTCCAACTCCATTATACTTCTTATTTTCTTTCCTCTCCTAGAGAACATCATAATTGCAGCGTTTGTCGATGGAATGAATGTTCAGAATGGCTTTATGACGTAATTTTTCACATAACATTAAGCGAAATCACTCGAATACCCTATTGGGAGGTTTATGGAAATTTTCTGGATTGGACTGAGAACGACTAGAGGTTATGAGGACGCGAAAAAACTGTTCCGTGGGATTCGAAACCAATATAACTAATTAAGTATTCTCAGAATTCTAAGTTTTTCCTTCAGAGCCACATGCAAGCTTGATTTATGCACCCTTACAAAGAAAAATAGTTACGTCAGAGGCAACTCTTAATTAATCTAGCAAAGCCTGCATGCACACAAAAGCAAACACAAATGGCAAATGTTAGTTCCAAATAGTCAGCCTCTGGAGGTCGTCTTTCGTAGAACCCTTTAATGGCCAACAAAAATGCCCTCCTGTTTGGTACTGTGAAGAAACACCCATCAGGAAAACACCGCAAAAAAAAAGCAAACCCAATCAATACCAAACAACACAATACAACAACAACCTCTAACTCGATAGTTGACAGCTTGCAGTGTCGTTAAATGACACCCTTTACCTTACGGTGGTTTACATCAAATAATTGTCAGATAATTCTAATTGATGGGCTCAAACCCGCAATCTTACAGAGCAATTAAAGGAATGAAATAAACAGAAAAAAAGAAAAAGGGATAAATTACGCAAAAGGGTGGTACCTAAAAACTTATTATCGGCTATGCACTTTCCATTTTTTGGGCCACATATCGAAAACATCATAAGTTCTTTGAAGTGCAACACTCACAGCAATTCGGTGCACATGAATGATTAATATGTTGTCATTAAATGCTATAAATATTTGAGTAATTAACCTTTTCTACCATTAAAAATGCTTAGTCAATTTGAATGTTTTAGCCGGTAATTAAGTATTTGCAGTAATAATAGAAACACAAAGACCAGACAAACCTCTAGTTTTTGAGGTAATAATTATAATATTGTAAAATAGATAAGATACAAACATTGAAACAAAATAAAACTAATAAAACCTGGCATTGCTACGAAATTTGAAGAATTCCACGAGAACAAATGCCACTACAAACAGTTCAGCTTCCCTACCACTTCACTAATTGTATGATCGGAGCAGACGGCGGAGAGATTCATTAAACCACATCGTTTTTACCCTACTAGTATGAGATACTAATTCAAATGTGAATCCTCGAAATAAAAACAATATCCCATTCTAATTTTTTCTTGAACTGCTCCTCAAAGAAGCTCATCAAGAAAAACGTCAATGAAAGAGTCCTAATTGAATACGACGGTTTTTCTAAATAAAACCCGAAAAGAAAAGCAGGCGCAGCGACAAGAAAGTGATGAACCTGAGGAACCAATATGCTACGATTCGGATCAAAGAGGGCCAAATTTGAACCGAAAATAATTAAGACACTGTAAACACGTAGCGGTAAAGGAACTCACAATAACTCTGACTGACAGCTCAGCTGGATGTGAGCAGACGTTGAAATTAGTTGTGAGTCGAGCAACTCCAATTTCGGGTAGCGGCAAATCACATCGAGGTATGCACTTCATCTGAAAAACCATAATTACAGAAATCTAAAGCGAACCAGAATTACTCTAACCTAAAGCGATTACACTTGCATAGGCAAAACACAGAAAGAAAAACAAAGACTTGCAAAGAAGTCTGTTCGAAGAAAACCGCAACAAGTTGTAATCCACAAGCTATTCATCAAGTAAGCAAAACACTAGAAATTGATGAGCAACTGTTAACTGTGATGACTGCAAGTATCTCCAGAAACAGGCTGTTCTCGAATACTCTGCATCCAAACCGACTCTCTCGTCACATGGAAATCGGAAGAGGGATTCTCACGAAAATTACTTGGCAGTACTTGGGATTTCTTCTGTTTGAGCCTCGACATCGTGTGAAATTTGCACTTAGCCTTTCCATAAATAGATGCCAACAAAGAAGACCCGTTTGAAACCTTCCCGGCACAAAAAAAGTTTGGACTAATTTCATCAGGCACCGATTATTTATAAAATGTATAAATTCTCATGATTGCAGGGGACTCGTGATTGTAGTTCTTCAAGGTCGTTGGAGATTAGAAAGTCTATTCTTAATTGACAACGAATTGACAAACGCAGTGGTGAAGATGTGTGCCCATGGAGGGAAGAGGATTGGTCTAGTATTCCCACAGCAATTGCGACTATCTCATCACAAGTTGTTCAGCATGGCTAACACGCTCCTACTAACCTCTTCTGAACTCGAAAATGACATGAAGAAGATGTTATTTTGGAAGAAGTTTAAGAATTGCGATAGGAATGGCCGTCCTTCACACAAAAACATCAAAAAATCTGATAGCTATGGATTTAACGAGCTGTCGTCTGTACAAACACTCAGGAATTCATGGCTATACCTTCGATAATTTCAAGGAGACTGCTAAGAACCATGAAATATAGGTAGCAATTAAAACATCAGAAAAAAGACAAAACACTGAAAAAAAGACTGCATGCAGTGGTGAAAAGGGCATGTTTTACTGCAGTCGATTAAAAAATGCCATTTCCAAACACCATTAAAAAGAAGTAACTTCAAGAACTTACTTTTACACCTCATGAAACATTCCGTTCCCTAGCAGAGAACACCCAGAGGCTGTTAGACATGCCAATTAAACTTACATTGTGATAGCCGAGAGCTGGAGTAGGAGTTTCAAACGGATTCTTTTCTTTTATAGGCATTCATCTTCACAACTCTGTTTGTAAATTCACTGATGTTAAATTAAAAAACCAAAAATACCAAAGGAAAAAATTCAAGTAACAACAAGCTCTGCCAAGTAGTTAACTAGAGAACATTCAGATTGATTCATGGTCGTAAAATGACTACTTTCAGAATATTGCCCCTTCAGACAAGCTCACTTCGAAAAAGTTCAAACCGATAACTGAGGAGAATGCCAAGAGCCCTCTCAAAGTGGTGATGTGAAAATCTGTTCAGCAGAAGAGGCTAGGAAAGAACGAAAGCCTGACGCAAAGCACGCAGAAATGAAATTCCTTATCGTTATTAAGTAAATACAAGAGTTTCAAGCGCCTTCTGGTCACGAATTGACGAAGTTGGAAAAAAAAGTACCGTGAAGACTAGACTTCTAGAATCTTAATGGAATGGATGTGTTTTGCAAGGCGTAATGCAGGGAGATTCATAGAAATTTAAGACCAACAAATGTAGATCGATGTTAGATTACGAAAGAATCTGCTGTAAATCATTTTTAATTGAATGTGGATTTATAATGATACCATGAGCTTCTGCACAGACAAGAAACGTTCATCAATTACGAAGAAATCCCAGAGCACGACGAACAAGAAGAAAAACACTGCTTTTGCTGAAGGAGGAGTCGTCAAACGGCCGAGGCGAAACGGCACCGCCCGACCGATGTCACGCCCACAGAAGACACCTGCGAACAGATTGCTGTGATAGACATCTATGGCGAAGAATTAGCCAACCCCCTGATGGGTATGATGGGGAGGATAAGCAGAAGTGACCAAGAAGTACTCAACACTTACCAGGAAGTAAGAAAGGTCGAAGTCTAGTCTAGTCATTCAAAGAACCAGGATTCCGTGTGGAACCAAATCCTTACCGTACCTTCACCTCTACTTCCTTCCATCATCTGCACGGGACCATTAATTATCAAACGAATACGTAATACGAGGCCCTCACGTCACTTTTTTTCGAAAGGGCATGTACTCAATTTCTCCCTATTATCGTATAGTTCATATATAATGACGAACTAAAAGTATACGGGAAAGAAGGAAGCCTGATCTTGCTAGGCCATCCAGAGTTTCTGTAGAGTTTCTGACCATATGGTGAATTTTTACAATGTCATAAACAATTGAGAAGTCACTACAAGTGCTCCATTTCTCATTCAAGTGTCCCATTCACTTCACATTGCGCTTGAAGGTGCTTTTTTTTCGTCCTTTACGACCTGCAAGCCATTTTACAGCCGAAGAAAACTCCCTACCGAATATCTGATACCCATATTTTCTACGGCAAGTTGGAAGAGAGCGCTGTTTTGTCAAAGACAGACATTTTGACCAAAACCCCCACTGTGCATCTCGTCTAATGATTTCCCACCACGTAGCCTTGTACAAATAAATCCCCACTTATTCAAGGGTTCGAATTTCTGAAACTTCCTTGAGACATGTCGCAAAGGAGCAAGGTTTTCTATCATTATATCTCATTGGATTAGGTTACATGGTTTGAGTGGTCTTGGCGCCCGCCCTTTAAGAATACCCGAAATGAAGTCCACAGTTTGCGAAATAGTAGGTTTGGTTAAAATTCTAACAAATGAACTTCTCGGCGGAATCTGCAACTCCTACAGCCGAGCAATCAGCAAAAAAAAAACATTTACTCTAATATGACATCAACTAAATTCTTCTGACGACAAATCTAAATTGCTATGTAAGCCTGACTACAAATTACTGAGTAAATTACTGGACATATCAGTCACAAATTATGGAAAACCAAAAAAACTGACAAAAAATTCAATATATATCTGTGTTTGCTCGCAAAATAGTAAGATTAAACACATTTCCACAACAGTTTTCTACAGTCCCACATAACTGATTAATAGTAACTGGCAAAAAACCAAAAATTACCAAAGTTCTCAGAAAACTAGAATAAATTGTAGCAAAATAAATAGTGCCCTTTTTCTTCAGGCAAAATATTGCTTTTTTGGAATTTGAAACGACACATGGTTCATATTTGAAGATCATTACCAGTTGGTACCACTAAAAATTTAGTGGTGGGACTAGTGACAGCTGCTTAAGTGGAAGGAAATGATGAAAAGGGCAGTAGTAGAGACTTGAATAAATGAAGGAAATTATGGGTCATTACCTAAAGTCATGAAACAGTTCTAAGAAGAAATTAAATCGGCTTCGAAAAACATAGTTGTACTATGATCTCCACTGTTATCCACGACTGTCTTCCAACGATCTGTCAGCTTGTCGATTTCATTTTCGGGAAAAAGGTTGCCCTAGTACGGAAAGAGGTCCTAGAATGGTTTCACCCTGCTTTCGGAGGCTTAAATTTTTTGTCACATCAATTAATATGCAAGGATCAGATCAAACGGCAATCGGAAGTCGAAAAATTCGAGAAATCAGAGGATGGTCTTTTAATTTCTCACTACAATTCCTGGAATTATAGCTGTACCTGTTCTGTGGCGATCAAGTGTTGTTGTTGTGGGAGATTACGCTTTACCTTGGGCGACACCTGACTTTTCTCAATGCGAGCCACATCAAGTTTAGTAAGTTACTCACAATAGTGTATACTGCTGCGTGGGTGTAGTTCAAATCTCTCGGGGACTCCCCCTGAAACCTCATTAAACACTCAACAATACCATTACCAACGTCATCCACCAGACGCGGCTAAAACCGCAGGAATTGGAAGGGAAAAGTGCAAAGCTTATTCTATGTTATCCAGATTTTTCGCCTACCGGATGTCGCATGATCTGATCGCTACCAAACAGTTTAGTTGGCGAAAATGACAGCCCAAGAAAGATATCGAGAACCAGAACGCGAAGTTTTCACATTTGGAAGAAAAAGTCTAGCTCTCTCCACGAAAAAGAGTCAACAAGCTTGAACATTGTTAGAAGACAATAGTAAACCGAAGTAAAGTGTATCACTGACTGGTAAAACATATCTTCAGGACCTTACCTGCTGAAGAAGTTCTTTAGACTGAGCACGAACTTAATGACCCACTACAGTGGAAATGCCTCCGAGGTATCACGAACCATCTATCTTATCGCGTGGCATTTTTGATATCCTGCAAGGTGCCAAGTCTAGAAAAAGTGAAAGGTCGTGAAGACACCCAGAACTGCGTCCTTGCACGAATGCATCCATCTCCGGAATGCTGCAGGAATTTAATAAATGCTCTTAAGGAAATTGTCGCCACACCTTTTCCGAAAACGCATTCAAAAGGGAGAGAACACGATGAAATATTCAAAAGCATTTCATGGGATTCGATTTGACGGACTATAAGTGCAATTATATGAAAAAAAAAAGATTTTAGGCGAGAAAACGGCTGAAAAATCTAAACGAGCACTTAGTACAAGTTACTGCAGGAATTCCATAGAGGAATCCGTTAATGAACCCTTTAAATAGCCCAATCAGCATCGGTGCACTAATAATATCTCGATTTACATCGAAAATAAGCACTCGCGAACTCATACATCAGTAGTGAAGGGTACCCATTGCGAAAAAGGTTATCTATAGAGAATTGCTATCTGGAGAGTCCTCCAACGATTTCATAATTTTATGAAAGTTGGACCAAGGGTTAGATGCGTATCGATCGTTTCGGTTCAAGTGGTGTTCCAGAAAAATAGTGGAATCTCGAAAACGCCTCAGTAATGTCGGGATAAGGAAGTTGTTCAGTCGCTTACTATAAACGGCGACCAGAGGGAGCCTTGTTGAAAAATTATTCGGTNAAGGGTACCCATTGCGAAAAAGGTTATCTATAGAGAATTGCTATCTGGAGAGTCCTCCAACGATTTCATAATTTTATGAAAGTTTGACTAAGGGTTAGATGCGTATCGATCGCTTGAGTCCCAGTTCTGTTCCAGATAAGTAGTGGAATCTCGAAAACGCCTCAGTAATGTTGGGATAAGGAGTCGTTCAGTCGCTTACTATAAACGGCGACCAGAGGGAGCCTTGTTGAAAAATTATTCGGTATTTACAAATTCACAGTTTCACGGGGAAAGTGTTTGTTTTCACAACACTAAACAAGGAGAAAAGACACAGGTTCTAAGGTTCTTGACTAAGATTCTTGAGCAATGCTTACATCTTAGAAAAACTGCATGAGTCTTTAAGCAGCTCAATCGGCTACAACTTTTAGCTGTATAGCTCCTTTTCCTCTTCTTTCAGAAGTCAAATACAAGAAAGCCGTGAATCAGTTAAGAAAAAAAGCTCCAGCTGGCTTCACATTTCCTCAAAGTTGCTAAGAGCATGGGAACGAAAAGATTAATATCGATTTTGCGCGTCTGGAATCAATACTCGCCCTTCACATCCATACGGTGATGGTCTAATGCCCATGATTTTACAGGTATGGTTACTCTATCAAAGTCCGCAGGCTTCGAAATTTGTTCTCGTATACCATACCTAAAACCATCTAAAATTGGTACAAGCCTGATGTTCGATTTAAAATAGGCGATGAGGCAAGGAAACTCGTAAACAACGAAGCCTTTTTGATACACAAAACACGTAGCGGTTAATTAGCAATACACAACATTAGGCATAGAACACTGTGTAAACACCTAGAACGTTAATCCTACAGTAAAGATACATTCGCATCGAGTAAAGGCCGTCAAATAGTATGTCCTGTCTGTAATATACGTTCGTAAAATGTATTGCACTATGTAAATCAGAGTAATTAATCAAATTCAGAGAAATTAACTCGAAAAAAGGCATACCAAACCGGTCGTATTTATGGCCTGCAGAGGAACCGTTCATGGCGAATTATGTCGTTGGGAACAAAACGAGGTCGTAAGGAGAACTGGGAATGGGAAAACGGAGTTCTAGGGAAAAAGTTAGAAATGAGGTTGTCACATAGGTCATATAATGACTGTAATGAACTGTATAATAAATTAGAAAAAATACAAACAGAGGCAGTTAAAGGCACTTAAACGTTGAGATTAGTACGATGGGCGAGGTAGAAGAGACTGCAGACGATCAGAGAAGTCCAGTCACAAATACGG